GATCCTAACCTCTCTAGGTTGACACCTGTGGCCACCAATGGTTGGGTACATTTTAGTTGATCCTCTGAGACTGAACACTTAAAATAAATCATGCATCAATTTGGTGTGATGATTGATAATAACTGTTTTCATGCAATTGGTGCAATTTTAGCCAAATTCTTATTGGGCATGAAATGGTGAACCAGTAGTATAAGGAGCGGTGAAGTCCGCAAAGAGTGGATTTGTGTCCCGATTGGAACGAAAACCCTAACCCTAATCATTTTCACCATGAAGAGGTTTGCTGCCTAAACCTATGTCCTGTTTTGTTTTGTCGTTGGACATTAATAGGAAAATCTACTAAAAATAAGGAATTAATTTTTGTTAGACATCATACGAGCCGTTATAGTAACATAAGGACTGTGAGTCCATTCATCACAAAGCCAACAAATGTGCTTTGCTAAATCAACCATCACTGGGTCTGTAGCGTGGACTAATAACTACTAATACCGTAAGTATTTCATATCTATTTTGTGTCAGGCTTTTATTCCAGGAATGTTTTTTCGGCCTTTAACAAGACATTACTGTCATAATTCTACGAGATGTATTTTTCTTGAATCACGCTGCGCTGGAGGTTTCTCTTGGATGAGACATGGCATGCCTCTCATTCTGTGACTAAATGAGGCTGAGAAAACAAATAGAGATGATTAATGTCCACAGTGCTCTTCCTCCTGATGATACAGTGTGGTGAGGTTCACTTTTCTTTTCAGGACGCTTTGCTTCATTTTCTTATGCATAATACAATTTAAAAGCTTTAAGAAACACAACAAAGAAACACAGTACCTCTCTGTCCTTTCTTCCTCCTGTTCAGTTACGCACTCTACAGAAATAGTCTAATGCTCTTTGTTCAAAGGGAACACAGAAAAAACGGAAACCTTGACTTCAATTAAAAGTATTATCAACTAATTTCGCACAACTGTATTAGGTCAGTTGAAAGCAATAATATTACGTTTTTTTTAAATAATATTTGGTTCAACTTAAAAGTGGGGTAGGTAATTTTGGAGAAACCAGCTCGAGTGCGCTAGAAATTGAAAATACACAACCGTAAAAAATCTGCCACTTCTGCCACTTCCTTACAGAGCCCCTCCTCCAACACACACGAACGCGCACATGACCAATGAGGGCACGAGATAAGTTTGTGCACAGATGGAAAGTGTTTCTGAAATAAATTAAATACCCCACCTTTAATATTATTGCTTTCAAATAACCTAATACAGTTATTTGAAATCTGTTGATATATTAAAGAGATTCAGTGAATATGTTTTGTTGTGTGAATTTGGATGTGGACCCAAGTGCCTCAGATTCCTCTCAGTAGCCCAAGAATGTGCCTGCTCCCTCGTAGGAGCTTCTTGTTGTCTTGTAAAGACGTTAGTGCTCAGGTCTCTGAGGTGAGTTGAAGAATGCAACAGGAGCTCTATGGTTTTACCAGAGACCCTATGTCTTGCCCAAGGCAGTGAAAAGCTAAAAACCCGGAGCAGTGGAACCGAGGATGACTGGAGCATTGTATTGTGAAGAAGGAAAAGGCCTTATGGAAGCGCTCAGGTTGCACTGTGACACTCCAGTAACTGCCGGGATCTGATCCAGACGGAAAGTTCAGCTGCTCTTACACAACCAACACTCTTGTCAATCCATAATTCAAAAACCTTGGTAAAGCGCCTGTGGTGTGGTCCTCCACTCCATCTATCTCTCTCTGGTCCTGGTTTTCAAACACATCAGCAAACTTCAAGCTTAAAACTTCTCCCGGCGAGTTCTGGGACCACAACTTACCTGATGCTGTAGCCAGGTTAAGCTTTTCTTTAGAACTGACACTAACCTTTCCTAAACTCCAGCACACACTTTGCGGTAAAAGCCCCCCCATCTAAGAATAGTCGGTTAGTCTGTGGAGCTGTGAGGCTGACTGAGGTCCTCCCAGAGTCCTGCCATCAAAGCCACTTCAAAAGACGTCAAAATACCTGCCTGGGGTCCGCTTTAAAGAGGGTCAGAGTGGGAGAGCCATGTAAACCTATATGTGACATGCTGATGTTAATAATAACCGAGCACTTTCCATAAAAGCATCTTACACCCAGCCATAGCGTGCTAAAGCGTTTGAATGTCAGACTGTGCTTTTCATAATTATAATTATATAGAACAAGTTCACTCAGTTAGTGGCTGATGCATCTGTCGTAGCAGCTTTAAAATCAGCTGTGGTCTAGAAAGAATAATCGGTAAGGTAACAAACGTACAGCAACACAATATTCGTATTAAAAGCAATAAGGATCTTTAATACTTGCAAGTATGACGTCTCCTCCAAAAGAGCACGTACTGTTCAGAGTGAATCAGGCTGTCTTTATAGGAGGACATCAAAGCGGATTTAGATTACAACATCATTCTGGGAGGCCAGCTGAGACCCCCTGGCACTGGATACAAAACCTTCACTCAATACAGAGCAAAAGGGATACAGATAACACCTTATCCTAACTTCTTTCCCCTCATCCTTCCTGTAGTGTCACAAAAACCCCTTGCATAAACCTGGGTGTGTGTGTGTGGTGGTGTGTGGTGGGGGTTGTGGTGTGTGTGTGTGTGTGTGTGTGGGAGAACCTGACATCTGACTCTCCGGCGACTGTAGTCTCGACTATTCTAGTGAAGAGGAGTTTAATCGTCGTCTGGCAGTGGAATAGTGGTCTCGCCTTCGGGTAAAAGTTTTCGTCCTAAATCACGTGACGAATGTATGATGCTGCCTATCTCATAACACAATGTCTAGCACACTGTTCACAGTCTACTTCGTTATTTGAAGTGTTTTCTGTTTTGTGTAGTGGGGTAAAGGTTTTTTAGTACGTAACACCCTACTGTCACAACTATTGTCGTGACCTTTTTTATTTTCCTTTCTAAATTCGTAAGTCTGTACTAAAACCATTTATGTTAAATGTAAACACCCCTCTCACCCCATTCTATCAGGTACACCATGAATACAACAAGAGATCGTCCGGTTTTTCCTCTATCTTCAGTTTACTGGTTGTTTGGAAATAAAATCCTACAGGAACCATATTCGATACTGTAAAGAAACCTATTACACTACTACTATAATCCACTGTCCTAACAAACACTACAATATAAGGTTTACCAGGTGATAAAATAAATAGATACAATAAGAACTATAGTAATCAAAAACTTTAGCAGATAAATCGTTCCATTGGGGGTTTGTACTGGTTGTAATATGTGGCGGGGGGTGTTATGGGTCATTTTTGATAACTGACCTTTACATATATAGGGGTGGTAACACCTCAATATTTGGGTGTCTCTAGTTATTAGAATCATTTCTCACTTGTGTATAGGTTCTTACAAAACTGACGAATGATTAAGACACAGAACACATTATACACAAATAAGACGATTGACTTTTATATTATACAAAACTACACGGAGACCCTACCTTTGATGACCATGATTTCGAATTGTGCACATTTGTATTACTCTAAGTTCTTGACGACATAAGACTTTCACAGTACAGTTAGCGAAACTGACTAATGAGTTTAGGGCCCTCACCTGGAAACTTACACACCTCAG